GCGCCATGGAGCCACTGGACCAGATCATGAGACCAATAAACATGGCATCGGAGACAAACCACAGAATGACAGTGCCTGCACTCAGAGTGGAGGATGAGCAGAACCACGTCCCGAGGATGTCACTACTGTTTCCCGTGTCCTGTGAACCAGTGACTTTCACAGGAACATAGATATTCATTAAGACACTGAACATCCAGCAGATACAGCAGGAAGGATCAATGATCTTGGGGGCTCTTCCTCTGAGCATCGTCCACACCGCCCTCTCTGGGATGAGTATGAAGAACTGATGGGTGCTCAGGACACAGGTGCAGCACATGGTGGTGCTGCGAGCTACTCTGTGTACATAATATACAAATTTACACCCAAGACTGGACAGGGGTTTCCTCAAAACAAAAGCCGCCATCTTGTGGGGAATCCCAGCAGAGAGAAGAACTAAGAGATTGGCTACAGCCTTGTGGGTGAGAATGGTGTTGGGGAGCCTCTGCTTGTGTCCACACAAGATTGGAGAGACATTAAAGAAGAAGAGGGTGACATTGGCCAGAGTCCCAATGCCCATCTGGAAAAGCAAGATGGTTGTCAGAGCCATTTCCCCTGTGGTTCTTTGGACATTGTTCTGAAAAGACATGGTGGATGCTTCAGGGCGGTCTGGAGCGAACAGCAGGCTGTGTTAGTGCTGGCATAAAGACTCTTCTTATACTTACATGACCTCATGAAGGGATCCTGGGCCTTTTCTCCTTCTGAAAAGGGAGACACAGTCATATCCTACAGGCAACTCAACCTTGAGAGCATGTCATGGACACCAATTCACAATTTCACGTTATTACTTTGTATTTCTATTCACTTTTATAATCTGACTCTTCGCCAAAATGTAAGTTGCCATGAATCTAAGCACCATGCCTGCCTTGTTAAAAAAAAAAATGTGATTGACCCACAAAAAGTGTTAAATAAATATACATTTAGTGAATAAATGAGTGAGAGGAGACAGGCACACTGTACCCCTTTTAGAGTTCACAATTATCCTGTCACCACAATTCATTAACCTAAGATAATGAAGTAGGAAAATGCAAACCCATGTTCAAATGTATAAGATAATATAACTCATTAAAATTGCAAGAAAATCAACTGTCAGCTTTCGAGAACTCTTAACGTTATTCATCAGAGTGATTAGACAGAAGGAAAAAAATCAGTAGCCTTCTGAATATACAATATGACCCTAAAATGTCCTCAGAGTGAACACACAATGTGATTTCCATGTCAAGTGTTGATCACAGTGACCAGAGGAAAGTTAGTTCCCATATAGTGTTAAAAGTAGACAGGGTGCCTGGGTAGCTCAGTTGGTTAAGTGTCTGACTTTGGCTCATGTCATGATCTCGTGGTTTGTGAGTTTGAGCCCCACATTGGGCTCTGTGCTGACAGCTCAGAGCCTGGAGCCTGTTTCAGATTCTGTGTCTCCCTCTCTCTCTGTCCCTCCCCTGCCCATACTCTGTCTCTGTCTCTCTCTCTCTCCAAAGTAAATAAACATTAAATAATTTTTTTAAAAGTAATAAGAGTAGAAATTTTGATTATGGTAGGTAGTATTTTTTCCCTTGTTTTTAGTATCTACCACTACCAGGGATATGAAGAAAATGTATTACTATGTTAAATGGGAAGAACAGATCAGGTATGTTCCTCCAAACTACTTCTGAGACTTGAAAATTAAATATAATTCATCTAACATTTTTTCTCTCTTGATGCCACACACACACACACACACACACAATACAGAACAAAACCAAAAAACTGACCTCCCAAAAATCTCAGGAGGAATAAAAGAGGCAATTGCATCCTCTAGCAGTAGGATTTCAGAAAGAAAAAAAAATAGGGTCATTAAATCATAATATCATTACACCACAGACTGTTTTTCTCTCGGAATATCTGTTTGTACATGAATGTGTGTGTCAACGGATCTTATTAATGTCAGGATTTTGAAGTTATAACCTAAGCTCTACACATGAAGTTTCTACTTGTATATACACACAAGCCTAAAAATCTGTTAGGTCTGAGAAAATTAGCAGACTTTTGAACATGGCTAAGGTCAGTGGCTCTGCTCATCCAAAGCTTGGCTCAGAGCCCAACGAGATCCCCATCTTCTTTCTCTCTCCTTGGCAGGGACCCTAGCACACAGAGATCTGCAGTGAATCTCCCCACTGTAGTCCCCCCCAGGGACACTCCCCAGCACATATGCACTAGTCACCAGCCCAGCCAGAGCACCTCTACAACCTTACTACACAAACCCAGTTTTGAATCCTTGTCCTATTGCAGACTCCTTGTCTCCTGGTTATTGCCCTGAGACTGAACATAAAGAAGCACTCACCTGGCTTGTCTTTGCTCCAGAGCTTTGTGCAGAGAAGTGTCAACCAGGATGAGCCATAGTTATAGGGCCCCTAGACCTGATCTCCCCACAGAGATGCCATTACCATGTCATGTGTAGTCTAGGTGACACTGTCTGCATGGAGAGTCTGGGGCATCTCTAATGAGAGGATTTTATCCCCACTGCAAGTCTTTACAAGCCACTTCTGGTAATTAATGGTAATTTTTGGTAACTGATGGGAAGTTCCTGAAGAGTAGCTGTTTCTATGTTCCCTGTGGAAAAATCTAAGTTCAGAGTCAGCATTGCCATCCATAGTAGAATTGAAACTCAAGGCTGGGTCAAGGGTCTCTTTCATAATATCTCCAAATGGGTATTTTCCTCAATGCTCTCGTGTTTCCAGAATCGGGCCAACACCACAATTGGCTCATACTGAGCATCTCTCTTTGATCTGGTACCTAGTCTCTCCTCTGACTTAAATACCACAATTCTTACCATTTATGGCCCCATGTCTTTTACTCCTGGAGAATATCCCACTTGAAGCTAGTCTATCCTGCCTCAGAATCCATGGGCAGCCCCAATGTCCATGTACCTCCACAGGAGGTTGTGACCTGCTTCCCAAATCATCCAGAGGGCACAGCTCCCTCGTCTCTCATCAGTCAACCAGGCTGTCCTTTATTTTCAGACTTTGCCTTGGGAAGAAGTATTCCCAGATGTACACACAAGATTCAGGGAGAAGTAATATGTAGGACAGATGGTAGGGTAGCATGAGATTCTTTAAAATCAAGGAAAAGGCCATAAAGCAAATAGAAAATTGGGCAAAACATTAAAGAGAAAATTCACAAGATGAGAAGATGGCCCTCAATCCTATGAACGTTAATTATGGTAAGTCAATTAGTTGCTTTTCAAGATTGGTTTGGATATTCTACATTTTTTTGCATTTTAACATTTTTAGAATAAGCTTGCCAATTTCAACAATGGCAACAACAAATACAACACAAGTGGGAGAGAGTCAGGACTGAGATTTGTCAATTTATGGGGGCATAAATAGGGTCAAGGGATGTATGGGAAATCTCTGTACCTTCCTCTTGATTTTGCTGTGCACCTAAAACTGCTCTGAAAAATAAAGTTTGCTCAAAGTTTGTGGGAGGGGGGATGGGCTAAATGGGTAAGTGGCATCTACTCCTGAAATCATTGTTGCACCATATACAAACTAACTTGGATGTAAATTAAATAATAAATAAATTTTAGGGGCACCTGTGTGGCTCAGTTAAGTGACCGACTTCAGCTCAGGTCATGATCTTGCAGTTTGTGGGTTCAGGCCCCGTGTCGGGCTCTGTGCTGAACACTTGCTCAGAGCCTGAAGCCTGCTTCAGATTCTGTGTCTCCTTCTCTCTCTGCCCCTCCCTTGCTTGTGCTCTGTCTCACTCTCTCAAAAATAAATAAATGAAAAAAAATTTTTTAATAAATTTGAAAAAAATTAAAAATAAATAAATTTTTAATATTCTACCAAAATTGAGTTCTATATAGGGTCAATAAGGCATGAATAATTTATGGTAGAGGCAACAGAAAACTAGGCCATATTTAATTAAGCAATGTATTTATGTATATTTGAAAAAGAAAACATTGAATTAAAGTCTGTAGATGCAAGTGAAAAAAAGAATACTGAATTTTCTTTTATGTTTATTATTTACTTTGAGAGGGAGGGAGAGGGTCAGAGAGAGAGAGGGAGAGAGAGAATCCCAATCAGGTTCCACACTGTCAGTGCAGAGCCTGACACAGGGCTAGATCTCATGAACCGTGAGATCATGACCTGAGCTAAAATCAAGAGTCAGATTAACAAATTGAGTCACCCAGGCGCCTGAAGAATACTGAATTTTTTTTAAAAGCTGTTGGAGTAGCATATTCTAAAGGATATGTAGAGGAGCACCTGAGTGGCTCAGTCAGTTGAGCATCCAACCTCAACTCAGGTCATGATCTCACAGTTCATGAGTTCAAGCCCCACATCAGGCTTGCTGTTGTCAACCTGTCAGCACAGAGCCCGCTTCAGATCCTCTGTTCCCCTCTCTCTGCCCTTCCCCTGCTTGCACTCTCCCAAAAAATAAAGAAATATTTGAAAAAATAAAAATAAAAGATAAGTCGAGATTTGGAAATGTATTTTTATTATTTGACCACAAAACTGATCAAATCTCAATTTGTACAAACTAAAAATGGAAAGTTTGGGTGGATGCTGGATGTAGGGACAGAAAATAAAACCTAAAATCTATAGACACATTCTACCATCACTTCTAAGTCAAAATTGTCAGAGGATTATGGTTCCTTCAAATCCAAGCACCTACCTCCATCCCAAGACACCCACTAAGAAAATAAAGTCATGCTTTCCAAAGTGTTTATCCATTTAATGTATTCCTCTAAATACTGCAAGGGAGGGTGGGAATTTTAAAGATGGGGGTGGGGACTTAGGCACAGTTGACACTTATAAACTGAGTCACATTCCACTGTCACATCGCTAGGACGCTGTAAAGGGACAGGTCTGAAATCACAGCCCCCACAGCCATGAATTACAGTTTATAGGACAGGGTATGTCAGGATGAGAACACCCACTGTGACTAAGGAGAAGCCTTTGTGAGACATTTACTTGAGGTGTTCCCCATCAAGAGAGCACACCCCTGACCCTGTACTCTTCGTTGACCCAAAGTTGGTGGGAAATGGTCAGGTGGGGATTTTTCTCTTCCACAGCGGTCAGTAGCATCTGAGTCTCCTCATCAAACGCAGATTTGTCCAGCCTGGGAAAACAGAAACCACATTTTCTTGACTTCATGCATCATCGTTTGCCTCTCTACATCTCAGTGCTGCTTCCCAATCCATTCTTTCCTAGAAGTGACTGGGAAAATCATTGTGAGTGAGTGGAGAAAGGGTAGGAATGTGCAGAACGGGGTTGTGAATCATTCTGTTCCTCATCAGCATATCATGCAGGGGCCTGGCATATGGAGGGTACCCAAATATTCATTCTACAGATGCCAAATACATACACTGTACATGCAAATATCATGTTCAGAATAACACTGACTGCTACTCTTCTAGGAAAGTGCTTCTGGGTCAAAACTGCTCAGCCCTTTATAGACCCATCTGTCATGTCCACGATGAGGTTACATCTTTACGGGCAATACAAGGCAGGAGATGGTGTTTATAGGAAGGTGGCAGTTCTTACCTGGGCAATTTTGCCTCTCAGAGGACATGTGACAAGGTCAGGAGACATTTGTGTTTTACTTCAGGGAACAGATGTCATAGCTATTCTTTTTTCATTAATTATTAATTTTCAAATTATTATTATTTTATTGAGATACGATGGATACATAACATTGGATAAGCTTAAAATGTACAACGTTGGTTTGATACATCTATATATTGCCAACTTAGTGTTAGCAACATCCATCATGTCACATTATTATAATTTCCTTTTTTGTGGTGAGAACAATTAAAATCTTGGCTCTCAGCAACCTCAACGTTTCCACTTTTTATCATCATGACCAGAGGAAGGTGCTACGGGCACGTAATGGGCAGGAAGAGGCCAGAGACACTGCTTAACATCCTGCAATGCACAGGATACCCCCATAGCAAAGAACCCTCCAACCCAAATGTCAGTCACGCCAAGAGTGAGAAAAACCTACCGTAGACTAACCTCACTCACTCTGAGGTGTCTCACCAACAAGGGAAATGGCGTCCACTCACCCAAGCCGCTGCAGGGTGCAGTCCAGGTGGCACATGGCTTCACAAAGCACCACTGCCCCATCATGGTCCAAGCTAATCCAGTCCAGGTTCAGGTTCCTCAGTGATTTGCAGCCAGTGAGGGCCGAGGCCAGGGCCTCACAACAGGCAGTAGTGAGGTGACATATTTCCAGCCTGCAACAGGGAAACACAGCAGCTTTGGCAGGCCAGAAGGCACACCACTGTGAGATGCCAATTCCACGCCTCTGAGCAGGAAACTTTAGAGTCTAGACCACTGGTTCTCAACCAGGGCCATTGTGTCCCCTGGGGGACATGTGGCAACATGTGAAGACATCTGACACACCTGGACAGTGCTGCTGGCATCTCTCAGGTAGAAAGAAGCCAGGGATACAGCTGAACATCCTACAGTGAACAGGACAGCCCCTTCCCCACCACAGCAAAGAACTACTCAGTCCCAAATGTCAATGGAGCCAAAGTTGAGTAAGCCCTGGCTTCACAGTACGGCATTTTGCTAATCAGATCATTCCAGACACACATGGTTTTAAACCTGCTTCCCCTAAGTACCACTAATCCTCCAGCCTTTCTTATTCTTGAAATGGGCAAGACTTCTCATAAAGATAATCAGTGACGCTCACCCAAGAGTCTCTACTTTACAGTTCGGATGCTTCAGAGCTTCACATAATTCCTTGACTCCGGCGTCTTGTATGTCATTGCTCCCTAGTTTCAGGGTCTTTAGTTTTTCATTGCCAACAAGAACAGCAGAGAGGTGCTTGCAACAAAGAGGGGTAAGGTAACAATCCGACAACCTGGGGAGAAAATACACACCAAGAGATACAATCATGAGGTCCCATCTTGCACAGCTTAGCTTATTTTCAATTATGCATATGAAGGAAGATGTCCCCAAGTATTTCTGAGATGACGATGGTGATGTTTCCTCCACCTTCCTGCCCAACATACTGGTCTGTGATTCTGCTGCCTGTCTCTGCTCTCCCAGGGCCTCTGTACCTGTTCTTGCTGGTTGAATGCTGCTGCCCAAGTATCAGTGGGGTTACTCCCTCACTGCCTTCAACTCCCTGCACTAACATCACCTTTGGTGAGGACCTTTCTCACTATTTTATATAGCATCATGTCCCCAGTCTCTGTCCTACCTCCAAGCTCTCCACAGTATTTATCACCCACAACATATGTATACATATGTTCATAAGTCTTATATAATGTATGCATATATTCATAAGTCTGTGTGGACACATACACATGTATGGACATACCTAGACATACATATGTTATATGTGTGTGTGTGTGTGTGTGTATGTATCTGTCTGATATATGTGTGTATGTGTTTCTGTGGTTCTCAAGCAGGAATGATTTTTGTCCCTCCCTCCTGCCCCAGGGGACTTTGGGCAATGTCCACAAACAATGTTGGTCTGCCATACTGGGAAAGAGGGTATAACAGCATCTAGTGGGTGGAAGCCAGGGATGGTGCTAAACATCCTATAAAAGATCCTACAGGACAGCTGGTCCCCACAATAAAGAATGATGCAGGTCAAATGTCATAGTGCTAAGATTGATAAACCATGATATATACACACATACTTGCAGCCCACACTCATGTGTGTGCGTGTGTGTGTGTGTGTGTGTGTCTGTGTGTGAGAGAGAGAGAGAGAGAGACCCCATAAAATTGACTTCCATGGAAACAGAGATATTAGAGTGTTTTGTTTACTAATTCATCATCTTATCTACCCAGAAGAGTTTCCAGTGCCCAGTAGAAGCAATAATGCTATGCCTCCTGCCATCATTTATCGATTGTTTATTTTGGGTAAGTCATTGGTAATAGTTCTTTATGTGCACTATTCCCGCTGGTCACCTCAATTCTTTGACATGGGAAACATAATTATCCTCACGTCACACTGGAGGAGAGGTGAGGCATCCTCACATGTTCATTGGCTAGCCTAAGGCACAGGAGATTCCATTTCTGGCCTTCCTGAGGTCAGAGACCCAACTCCAGAGCAGTGTGTCCTACCCAAGACCTGTCAAGCGCTTTGGTCAAGACACACGTGAGTACCACTGGACACCCCTGCAAGTATCAGGCAGGGCCTTGCTTTTTTCAGCACACCCCGTGATGTTCCCCCTTCCTGTTTCCTTTTCAGGGTGCTGATATCCAAAAAGGATACTCTGACATTCATGCAAATCATAGCCAGACCTACCACAGCTGCTCGATGTTGCAATTTGGATGCTTCAGTGCCTCACAAAGAGATGCCACTCCACTATCTTCCAGGAGATTTGACTCCAGATCGAGCACGGACAGGGATGTGTTGCACACAAGGGCTTGGGAGAGGTAGTCGCAGGCCACAGAGGTGAGGCCACAGCACATCAGCCTGCAAAGACACACACACACACACACACACACACACACATTCAACTTGTCAACCCGCTCAGGCTCCAACTGGTAACCTTTTCATGAAGCCACACGCAAGTTATTCCTCATACTCCAGAGTCACTTGAGAAAAGTAAGAGAATTAGAACACCCGACAGCTGCACAAACACAGAAGCAAGAATGTGGGATCTGGAATAGGGCGTCCCAAACTGGACAACAGAATCTCAGATTCCAGCTTCAACTCAGGTCACCACCGGCTAGGTGACCTTAACCAAAGTCATCCCATCTAGGGACTTGTTGTGCTTATCATGTGGTGGAATGTGCTGGATGACATCGTATTTAACATGATTTCTCTGGTTATACCCACTGTTGGAAATTTGGAAAGCAGCGGGAAGCGTAAGACACCAGCAGCTCACGAGTGAATGTTACCCCTGGATGTAGTGAATTTAGTTGCTATTATGTTTGACATGTTTTGTTTTGTTTTTAATTAGCGGTCAACATGTAAGAACCAAGAGATTTCACAGGGAATTTCCTACCTCTACCTCCCACAGACAAGCCAGCTACCTGAAACTCCGTGGCAGGTGGTCACGCAGCAAAAGACACACGGCGGGGAACAGAAACAGCGGGGAACAGAAACTCCCATGTGGCAGGGGCAGGCACTGTCCAACTCACCAGCACCTCCACCCAGCCCCTCACTCACTCTGGTTGTTTGCCTGGGCTTCAGGGGACCCCTGAGCATGACCTCTGGCAGGAAGCAAGCACCAGTCTCTGATAAACAAACACTGCTCATCTATGATGGATTTTTCTTCCCATCTTCTCGTGTTTAAGATCAGCCAATGGCACATACTTCATACTTTTTTCAATGAAATAAGTATTTTGAATTTTGAAACTTCACTGATACGTATTTTGAAAATTCATTAATACGTTAACGGTTGCATAAGATAATCTCCAGTGGCTTCACTACTGTATATATTTCCTAAATATCTCCACTTGTATTCTCTATACTTTCTGCCATTTTAAGTTATATTGAATTACTACCTTGCCTCTAATTTTTTTTAATGCTTTTTTAAGGCTTTCTATTAAGACTTTTCATTTCACTTTATTTGCTAACATACTTTGCAAAAAACTTCAACAAATTAATACTCCCAATCGTTGTATAAATTTGTCCATTTGGCAGAATCCTGGCCAAGTGGAATATATTTTAAATTTTTGAGCATTCATTATAAAGAGCATTATTTTGTTGAACATTTTTACTTTTAAAATTACTAGTGACATTTGTACATGTTCAGCAGTCTTTCATTAAAAAAGTTTTTTTTTAATTGAAGTATAATTAACATACAGGGTTATAATAGCCTCAGATGTACAATAAAATGATTCAACAATTCTGTATATTAATTACTCAGGGCGCATCACGGTAAATGTATTCTTCATCCCCATTACATAATTCATTATTTCACCCATCCCGCCACCTACCTCCCTTCTGGCAACCACCAATTTGTTCTCAGTATTTAAGAATCTGGGGGCACCTGGGTGGCTCAGTCAGTTAAGCGTCCAACCTTGGCTCAGGTCATAAATTCATGATTTGTGAGTTCAAGCGCTCTGTCGGGCTCTGTGCTAACAGCTCGGAGCCTGGAGCCTGCTTTGGATTCTGTGTCTCCCTCTCTCTCTGCCCCTTCTCTACTCACTTGTGTGCATGCTCTCACTCTTTCTCAAAAATAAACAAATATTTTTTTAAGAGTCTGGAATTTTCTCTCTGTTTTCATTCATTTGTTTGTTTGCTTTGTTTCTTAACTTCCACTTTTTCTTTCTTAAATAGGCTTCACGCTCAGCATGGAGCCCAGCACAGGGCCTGAACTCACAACCCTGAGATCAAGACCAGAGCTGAGATCAAAAGTCAGATGCTCAATCAAATGAGCCACCCAGATGGCCCAAATTCCACCTATTTTTAAGGAATACTGATTATGATGTAAAAACAAACAAATAAACAAACAAAAAAACCGTGTTAAGTGATGGATCTTGAAGAACCCTTTAGAAAACTACAGCCCATTTGAGAGGCACCTGGGTGGCTCAGTCTGTTAAGCATCAAACTTCGGCTCAGGTCATGACCTCACAGTTTGTGAGTTCAAGCCCTGCATTGGGCTCTGCGCCGATAGCTCAGGGCCTGGAACCTACTTCAGATTCTGTGTCTCCCTCTCTCTCTGCCCCTCCCCCACTCACACCCTGTCTCTGTCTGTCTCTCTCTCGAGAATAAATAAACATTAAAAAAAAATTTTTAAGAAAGAAAAATACAGCCCATTTTAATTGCTGGTCATCAAGTACATGTTAATTCTATTCATTGTATAACATCAGCCACTTATTTCATAGCCAAATCTTTCCACCTTCCAATATGTCATTTCTTTTGTACCCCCGATGGTTTTTCATTCTAATCTTTATAGATCAAAGTTGGGGGAGGGGGTGGTTCTTTCTTTCTTTCATGGTTTGGTTTTAGTGTTTAATGTTCCTGGAACATATTTCACTGTTGATTTTCCTATACAGTCTAGAATGTCATCTCAGTGGTAGTATTCTTTCCCTTTCCTGTCTTAGATGCCACTGTGTGTGTGTGTGTGTGTGTGTGTGTGTGTGAGTGTGTGATGCACAGACCTATGGGCACACATACATGCATGTGTGTGCACACACAACACAGCTGTTTCTGGGTTGCTCATGCACACCCACGGATTTGGCGTTCTTGCACCTGCCCCCACATGGAAGCACCACGACATTCCACCTGATTTAACACTAAGTTTCCCATGTGGCCTCACTGGGCAAACAGGGGTCCCACTCTACCGCTGCCCTGGCCAACCGCCCACCACAGAGGAAGACCTCCACTGTGCATATTTGCAGCATGAGAGAAATGGAAACTCTGGAGGGCCCCAGTAATAACCTAGAACGTGCAAACCTTGCTCCTAAAACGGACCAAATGAATGCCTTGTCTTAGATGTTTACACGCTCCCTCTCCCCAGCACCAATTGTATCTAAGGCATGGTCCTTGTTCACAATAACCAGGATTTACTGGGCTCTCAAGTAGACACGAGGTACCTAAGGGTGGGTCTCCAACTCTCGAATTCAACCTCATGGTGCCGCTATGGAGGAGGTGTTGTACTAGCTCCATTTTACTGACAGGGCAACTGAGGCATGGAGAGGCAGGTCTGACTATAGACTCTGCGTTCTGCAGTCTCCCTCAGTGAGCAGTTGATTACCTCCACTATTGATGGGTCCACAGGTACATGTCCACAGTCTCCCCAGAGCCCACTTTCCCCAGATGGACTCACAGCAGTGTCTCCAGGGCACAGTCTGGGTGCTTCAGGGCATCACACAGCATCAGCATGCCTTCATTCCTCAGAGGGTTTTCCACCAGGGAGAGAAGCTTCAGATTCTTGTTGCAGACCAGGACCGAGGCAATATCGTTGCAAGCTTTTGCTGTGATGTCACACCTCCCCAACCTGCATGTGAGACACATGTTGCAGGATGTGACCACAGGCTTTGAGCGGCCACGGACCATATCCCAGCTTCCAGTCTTACACCAGCAAATCCACCATCTACATTCCAGACTTGAAAAGCACAAATGTGGCAGGACCCCTGCTTGGCTCAGTCGGTTAAGCATCCGACTTTGACTCAGGTCATGATCTCACTGTTCATGAGTTCGAGCCCCACATGGGGCCCTGTACTGACAGCTCAGAGTCTGCAGGCTGCTTCAGATTCTGTGTCTCCCTCTCTCTCTGCCCCTCCCCAATCAAATTCTGTGTGTCTCTCTCTCAAAAA